AGCAGGCTGCTGCAGAGCCCCAAAGACTGCTAGCTCCCTCTGGGGAGCCAGTGTTTTATTTTCAGTAAGTTTTCTTGTTTTTTCCTGTGGATTTCATGGCCATTGCCTGCTTTCGTGGGCAACACCGGATTTTGCTAAGTCTATGAAATTGCGATTTCAGTCGGTCCCTAGTGATGGCTCATGCTCCGTAAAGATTTTCAGGTCCCTTTCCCTGACCTCAGTCTCTGTTTCCTCATAGCATTTTAGAAACTTTTTCCATCGTGTTAACAGAATAACAAGTCTCCTGGCAACAACAAGATTGAGAACCTCAAGGTTGCTCTGAATGGTGATACAAAGATGTATAGCAGTTGGTAAAGGCACTATGCCTGAATTCTCAACATTGATAATGCCTGGACGTGCAACATAATTTTGTCATTGCCAATATTAGCAATGGTCAGAATTTTTAAAGAAATTGGACCTACTGGAACAGGATATCACATGCACCCCCCTTTAGAAGATGCTATACATTTAGATAGTTGCAGAGAGGGGTGTATTCTTTGGTTCCCTTTTGAGTAAGCCTTTTCTGCTGTAGGCTATGATTGAAATTTATCATGCAGAATTTTGGCCTAGGCACTCTGAAAATTCCATTTTGAGCTCATCTATAGTCATGTAAATCCAAAAGATATGACCCTGTCTCCTAATTTATGCCAGGGAATGGGGAGAATATTTTGAATATAAAATGCCAGTATTCTGAAAGGAAAGCAACTTATCCTTCTTCTGTGTTGGCTTAAGTAATTGCATTTGGTGGAATGAAATAGTGTTTCAGGGTATGGACAATTATACCCAAAGAAAAAGGGGGATGTATTTCTTGATAATTTGTTTTAAGTTTTTCATGTGCCTATTCTGTTCTACAAAAAAAGGAAAATTTAGTAGCTGTTTTGTACTGGTATAAACTGCCTTGAGTTAGCTTCATTTGCTGTAGGATAGGAGAGGACACAAACAACAGTTACAGAAGTTAATGCATGCTTATGAGTGGTAAGTCCCCCAACCTCCGTAAAGTGGTATCATTTTTTTACTGGTTCACAGGCTCAAGCCAGTTGACTTCACAGGAGTCTTGCCTGATTTACTGTTATTTTGATTAGTTTTAAGATATCATGAACTATGAATTTTAATAAATCAACCAAACAATCAAAAATATTATAAATGCCACAGTAAACTTAAATACCAGAGGTGGAAATTGTTTGACCATGTTTATTATTAGGGAAATATAAGGTTTGATACAAAGCCTATTAAAGTCAATACAAAGGCTTCCATCAGGTTCAGTGGGCTGTAGACCAGGTCCATGAACAGAGGTGGGTAGCTGCTTGATATCTTACTGATGTCACTGACAAAGAGCTGAGTAATAATTGTCCCATTTTAGACCATTCTACAATGTTGCAAGTGCTCTCCTAAGCAGAAATGAGAAGCAAAGTCATTGTTTTTTACAGGATGCAGAGTTTTGATGAACCTTGGATGGAGGAAGAGGGGGAAGCAATGGAACATCCTTATTACAACAGCATTCCTAATAAAATGCCCCCTACTGGGGGTTTTATTGATGCCAGACTCAAATCCAGGCTTCCTAATGTGGCAGACACTGCTCAGGTCAGTGACTCATTAGCTGTTTAGTTTCATAGTCAGGGTAAGCAATCAAAATTTGAAAGCAGTGTATATTTTCAGGTTAATACACTGAAGATGTGATGTATCTTGCACTTTTCATGTACAGCTGGCTTCTTTTGTTGCAGTTTATCTGGTGTGGCATCACATTCATTCCTTGAATTGAATAAGAGATGAAACATAGCTTGTTGTTTAAAGGTTAAATTTTGGCTTATCCTGCTGGACATGTGGTGAAGCAGAGGTTGCAGATGACCTCTTCCCAAAATCTAGCAGACAGTCAAAACCACATCTTTCTAGACCCTCACATGCTAGTGGGATATGTCTCTGGCTACCATTTGATGACTATCCTATTACTGGGTGGCTCACTAGGCAGGGATGATATGGTCCCTATTCCTTGTTAATGCACAGATGTAAGAGTCTAACCCTTAATAGGAGTGATGCTAAATTCATTGGTCCCAGTCTTTCCTGAGCCAGTCTGCCAGCAGATATACACTTCTTTTGGCTCCCTTCAACATCTCCTTGCCCACAAAAATGAGAACGTAGCCCTGTGCAGTTAACATGAGCTATAACAACAAAGTGCCCTTTTAACAGACTCTTTGAGCCTTCTTACCAGTAGACCTGTAAGAAGTGGCTAATATTTGCTTTGGATTTGGATTCAGCTGATTCGGGGGACAGTGCTTTGATTTGGTGTTTCGAATCACTGTCCCAAATTGATACAGCCAAATCTGATTCAGAGATTTGGCCACTGCTGAATCTCTGAA